TGTGATAGGAGAGGAGGGTGGTCTCAGAGAGGATGTAGAGAAGGCTGTGATAGTGAAAGGGGGTTTGTTGTTTCAACGCGGATGCTTTTAAATTCTGTGTTGATGAATGAGAAGCTTAAACTTATATTTGGCATTTTCTCTGCAAAGTTTGATGCCTGGTTTCTATTTATTTGCTGATTTCGACATTTGAAAATTTGAACTTCACACAGGCCACCATTTATTTTGCCCCCCCCCCATTAAAATGTGCAGAAATGTGTTTGAAATTACTTTATTTAGAAAATCATTAAAATGTGTAATTTGACCGGGGTGCCCAAACATTTGCATATGAGTGTGCACTGATAAGCCAAAACATAATGACCACCTGTGTAATATGTTGTCGGTCCTCTGCGTGCTGCCAAAACAGCTCCTAACTGCTGAGGCATGGACTCTACAAGACTTCTGAAGGTGCCCTGTGGTATCTGGCACCATGACTTTAAGTACAGATCTTTTAAATCCTGTGAGTTATGAGTTGGAGCCGCTGCGGATTGGACTTCTTGTTCCAGCACATCCCACGGACGCTCCATTGCATTGAAATCTGGGGACTTTGGAGGCCAAAACAACACCTTGAACTCTTCATCATGTTCCTTAAATAATTCCTGAACATGACAAAGGGTTCAAGCATGCATTACCCGCTGAAAGAGGCCGCTAACATCTTGGAATACCTTTGCCTTGAAGGGGTGGACCTGGTCTGCAATGGCTAAGTAGGTGGCACGTGTCAAATTGACGTCCACATAAATACCCGGACGCAGGGTTTCCCAGCAGAACATTGGCCAGTACGTCATACTCCCTCCATCAGCTGGTCCTATTCCAGTAGTGCATCCTGGTGTTGTCACTTCCCGAGGTAACTGGTACACATGGCAGTCCACTTGATGTAAAAGAAAATTGGACTCATTGGACCAGATGACCTTCCTGCATTGCTCCATTGTCGAGTTTTGACTCTCATGTGCCCATTGTAACGCTTTTGATAGTGGACAGGACTTAGCATGGGCACTCTGACAGATCTATGGGCACGTAGCCCCACATGCAGCAGGGTGTGATACACTGTGTATTGTGAAACTTGTGCCACAGTAGCCCGTCTGGCAGTTCGAACTAGATGGGACAGACTTGGTCACCCTTGTTCATTGATGAACCTTGAGTGCCATACCCTGTTCGCCAGTTTGTGGTTGGTAGTAGGTACTCACCACTGCTGACCGGGATCACCCCACATACCTTGCTGCTTCTGAAATGCTTCGACCGTTCAGGTCTTCACACCTGCCCATATTTCTCCATTCAACATGAGACTACAAGAACTGACAATTCACGTATTGTCCTAGACCTTGACGTGCACCATTGTTCTGTGGTAATTAACTTTATTCACTTCATGTGTGAGTGGTCATAATGTTTTAGCTCGTAGGTGTGTACATATGTATAGAGAACTGAATTACTGGTTACGGCATAAAATACAGTGCAAAGTGAAGCCACTTGTTGACTAAATTGGTGCTTCCTCTATGCACGGTAAAATGAATGATTGTCTATGGGCAAAATGTCAATATTCTCCCAGAAAATACAGATATAACACAAATTCTGAGGTGTACTGTTTTCCTGCAAAAGTGTCTAATTTATGGGCTGTGACATTTTAGACATTTTATGGGTATGTATCTACATAACTGTTTTATCTTTTGACTTATATAACCTATGTTTGGCTGTCTGATCCATTATTTCAAGGTAACTTTTAAAAAATTGGTGAAAATAAATGGTAGTCTACAGGGAGCACTTAATGCAGGGGATTATGCAGCTGTCTTCAGTGGTGCACCCTCCTTCGTCAGTCTATGTAAGTATAAGATTAAGTGACCCTTATTAGTCCCACAACCTCCGCATTTTGACCCATCCATGCAGTGAAATACCACATACACACAAGTGAACACACACACACACTAGGGGCAGTGAGCACACTTGCCCAGAGCGGTGGGCAGCCCTATCCACGGCGCCCGCGGAAGAGTTGGGGGTTAGGTGTCTTGCTCAAGGGCACTTCAGTTGCGTACTGTCAGCTCAGAGGATCGAACCGGCAACCTTCTGGTCAAAGGGCTGGTTCCCTAACCTTCAGCCCATGACTGTACAGGATGGGGTGCATCGATATGAGAATTGTGGGCCGCCTGGATTTGTCTGAGTGCAATAAAATTCTGGGAAGCTCCAGAATCATGTTAATCGGTAAAGCTTTTGGAGTATAAATGAAAATTTCTAAATATAAAATTCTATTGGCCAGCATTATTATCGCTTATTGGGAATTTTTAGCCTCTTAAAATTGGTATCAGCTGTAGAATTTTCTTATCAACCGTGCCTTAATATAGACCAAACACACAGTTTCAGAACTAAATCCAGGCCTAAGTGGAACATTAGAGAGAGATAATCTGAATAAAGGTCAGTCTTTTTTTCTATTTTTGACGTGATAGTGGTTTCGGTCTGGCACGTGCATAAATGAATAGCGCTGGGGTGAAAAAATGCACTACATCATGTCCTTTGTGACAGCATGGAGAAGATAAATAGGTTTTAAAACATGCAAATTATAGTGTGCCATTGTTCTCACGCATATGAACATCATTCTTTTCGTTTGTCCATGTACATATGTGTGGGTTGTTTCCTTGTACTGGAACAGTAGGTATGCACAGGAGTTTCTGTCTGAATTGTGAACTATGTATGTTTGAGGCTGTAGGCATGAGCAGTGAGTGTGTGCCTGCTTTGGAAGGAGTTCGTCGGGACACCAGTGAGATATTTGTTTATGTAAGATTGTGCTTTTGTGTAGTTTGTGTGTGTGTGTGTCTGAGTCCTAGACAATGTGCAGTACTGAGCAAAAGTTAAAGACCACCTTTTTTGATTACTTCCCAGTGAAAAAAGGCCATTAAGTACAAGTTATTCATTTCCTAGGAAATATTTCTGAGGAGATTAGACATAAAAATGGTAATCCTTTGACTACTTTCTAAAAGCTCCAAAAGGTAGTCCTTTCCAAAACTAGTCTTCAAAAAATTAACCACAACTGTCCTTGTCAAATGAAGAGCACTTAAAAAAAAAAGCTGCTTCTGTTCTCAGAACAAGACTAACCACCCCAGAGTCCAGTATGTGTATGTATCTGTGTGTGTGTGTGTGTGTGTGTGTGTTTATGTATATGTATATCCTAACAATGACATGGTAGTGGCCATGATTCATAATTCATGTACTTTAATAGTGTTTGATAATAAATGAAGGGTGGTCTTGACTTTTGCACAGTACATTATGTCTTATATGTTATACACTGTGCACATGTGTGCTTGTATGTGTGTTGGGGGTTAGGATAGGTATGCACCGTATATTGCAACAAGTCTAGTGAAAGCGGAAGAATATAGATGAGGAGTCATGTGATGAAGGCTATAATTGCTGACAGCACCAGCAGCAGCTGATGAATGTTGTGACTCTGCTGAGCTTTAACAGCCAGATAACCCTTACTGATACACTCCGTAATGGACTTCTGTTCTACTACAACACTGCTACAAACCTATTTTGTGCTATAATACTGATTTACTCCACCGCCATAGATTTCTATTCTACTATAACATTGCTATAGACTTCTGTTCTGCTATAACACTGCTTTAGACCTCTACTATTACACTAGTGTAGACTTCTGTTCTGCTATAACACTGTTGTGGACTTCTGGTCTACTGTAGCACTACTATAGACTTCTGTCCTACCAAAACACTACTGTAGACTTCTGGTCTACTGTAGCACTGCTGTAGACTTCTGTCCTACTAAAACACTGCTGTAGACTTCTGGTCTACTGTAGCACTGCTATAGACTTCTGTCCTACCAAAACACTGCTGTAGACTTCTGGTCTACTGTAGCACTGCTATAGACTTCTGTTTTGCTATAGCACTGCTATAGACGTTTTACTATAACACTGCAAAATACTGCATTTGATATGTTGTTTTGTTCTATTTTTACTGAAAAAGGGGTTTAAATGATTTGCACATCATTGCATTTTGTCTTTATTTACATTTTGCACAGCGTCCCACCTTTTTTGGAAATTGGGTTGTACTATAATACTGCCTTAGACATCCATTCTGCTATAACACTGCTATAGACTTCTGTACTGCTATAACAGTGCTATAGACTTCTGTTCCACTATAACACTGATATATATTTCTGTTTTAGTATAAGTCTCATACGCTCCACTGTTATTCAATGGTCTATTGTGCCACACAGTCTCAGCTGTTATTTATGATAACATGTTGTCATTTTTCAAAATAATTGCGTTCATTAGCTGAGCGGTCGTTGCTAAATAACAAATTGCTTTATGCAGCTTACAGTTAGTAGGTTTCTACTTTATTACATATAAAAACAGAAAATGGATACATTATATTAGTATTTAATCTGCAATCCTTTTGGTCAGATTCTGAAAATGTTAACAGCAGGACTATATCAAATTCTGAACCTATCGTTGGATCTGAGCAAGCTTTTTGGTTAGCAGCTGTTACAAGACAACTAAACAAACAGAATTAGCCAGAAACAAACAGAATACAAGAGGAAACATGCTTTGCAGACTGACAGGAACAAAACAGCTATTAGGCTCAAGCTGAGCTGAACCTGATATTGCGATGGTTTTGTGGCTCTGTCTGTACAGCAGGAGGGTACTACTTTTTGGGCAAAAGAAATTGCCAACATTAAATTGTATTTGATACAGTTTTTGTGGCTTTGTTGCTTTCCTTTTTTCTTTATTTTGGAGAACTGTGAGAACTTTCGAGGTCATCATGGCTGCGATGATCAGCGGCTGAATCACTGCTGTGATGTTATTTGTGATAAAAACTCCCCGTCTCATGTTCTGTTGGTTAAACTGATGCTCTCCGCTGCTGTAGACTTCTTTTTTGCTCTAATACTGATATATACTCCATTATAGACAACTGTGGGCAATATTCATCTCTCTCTCTCTCTCTCTCTCTCTCTCTCTCTCACTATAGGCAGACTCAGGTCCTCTGTTGTGTGCTGGTTACGAAGACGGTTCTCTGGTACTTTGGGATGTATCTCATAGGCGTTCTCTCAGCTGCCTAAAGGCCCATCCAGAGCCAGTCATGTGTCTGGACTTTGACACAGACAGGCAGAAAGGCATCTCGGGGTCCTCAGACAAGACCCTGACCTCCTGGACCATCGACAGCCAGCAGAACCTTCAGGTTTTCTTTTTCTTTTTTTCTCATTTACTACAGTTCTGTTTATTTCAAACTACTTTCTGAAAGAGCTACATCCTGTAGCCGGCACTTCATCCTTTTCTTTTTTGCATCTTCTGAACTAGTTTGATAACTATTCTGGAATCTGGCTGGTATTTGACTGATAAAAACACTGCAAGACTGCAAAATTAAAACACTACGTCCAGTAAAAAAATAAAAAAAAAACACTGAAGTACATTTAGAAATGTAGGTGAGGAGCCCAGGAGTCCCCCACATGGGCTGCTACTGTTTTACAGAGGGCAGAGCTGTCTCATACTATCATACTAAGCTTGATACATAAAAATACGCAAATAAAGCTTGTTTGCTTTATTACAGCTAATGATATTTATACGAAGGAGGCTTCTTTTGTCGTTAATGTAGAAATAATGTAGTTTTTTGAAGGAATAGTTCAGTGAAAAATCACATTTACAGCACTTCCTCTTACCCCAGATATAGTTGATCAACCAAACAAACAATATAACTTAATAGTCACCTAAATAGCCCAAAAATACCTCTCCAAAACCTCTTTCAACCTCTTTCAACCTACTCAAACCACATCCAGCTCCTTATTAAGGTTGCGTAGACTTACCGGTGTGGTTTAGAGCACAGTATGACTTACTCTGAGCTATAAAAATGAACAAAACACCACCGCTGTGCCAGCCATTTCAGACAAAACCAGGGCTGGTATTCACAAAGCAGCATGATTCTCCATACTTGTGGTGGTCGCTGGCACAAACGCTGATTCCAGATCAGCACTCCGACCCCTGAGGTGGTTTGTGAATTCAGACCCTGTTGTATAAAGCGGCTTCCCACAGTTTTGGTCATTTTTCTAGTTTACAGTAAGTCACACTGTGTCCTAAACCACATCGACAAGTCTGCGCAACCTTAATGAAGACTTGGATGTGGTTTGAGAAGCTTTGGTGGTGCTTTTTACAGAAGCGATTTGGGCTCTTTGAATGGCTGTTGAGTGCTGGTGTTTGTTAACAGTTTTAGCTTTGCCACTTCAGTTCTAAACTAAAGGCGCTAAATTTGGACACCAAACAATATCGAGCACCCTTCACACATTAGCTACATCTGGGGTAAGATGAAAATTGGATAAATTCTGATTTTCAACTGTTCCTGTAAGTATTTAAAGCCATTATAACCAACAGATACATAAACTTTGGTCATTTATGAGTTGCAGTGCACGTTTACTGACCTCACACTAAATAAACACATTTGTTATTTATCCATTGCAATAAAATGCAGAAAAGTGGAGAGTTGAATGATCTCTGGTTTGCTGTCAGTCCAGCAGTGCTTTGTTTTAAAACTGCCTTCAGGAGTGCTGGTTAAACTTGATCGCTAAACTTTAGATTCGTGTCAAGTCAGCAGCAGTCATGGAAATACAGAAGAAGTAAAAGCCTTTAAGCGGTCATATGCCAACAGCATGTTTTTGTTGGAGAGTATGTGAAAGGCAACATTTGGGCTAACCCAGGGGTCAGCAATCCAAATGTTAAGCCATTTTGTCCTTTCAACAAAAATCAAAACACCTTGGGAGTCACAACATTTTATGTCCATCTTACCATCTTGCCTGTAAATATGCCTCCGTATGTGGTAATGCGCTGGTATAGGCTAACAAATATAAACGAAAATCAAACTTACTTTGCTCTGCTTTAAGCTTTAGTTTAGCTATAGCCGTTTTTCTCAGATCTCTGGCAGGAAACTTTTCAACAAAAGTAGAATCGTTTCTTATAAAACGTCTCTTAATGTTCAGTTTTTTACGAGCCTGAAGTCGTTTCTCATTCGGCAACTTCTTTTTCGAATTTTCCCGTTCCACCTTAAATGGTGCATGAGGTGCCAGAATGTAACTGCAGCACCATTTAAGGTGGAACGGAAAGTTCATATCGATAAGCTATTTTTAGCTAAGCGTCTTTTTAGTATTTGACGGATTCTCATTGCCGATTAAACGTATCAGGAAACCAGCTGGAGTGATTATGGATGCAAATAAGTCCATTCGCCTGCTGTTTATCGATGTTAGTCTTAAATCTTTCTCTTTGCTTTTTCGATAGCTATTAGCTAGGCAAGATTGCAGATTGTTGTCTGCATTGCTATGGCGATCAGCAGTCTGTGCGCCAGCCTGTAGGGTTAAAGGGTGAATTAGCAGTTCTACATTAACTCCAGCGTTTAAGACCATCGTTTTTACTTCTTACTTTGCCACAAACAGAAAATGGACACTTTTAAGATCACATTTGACCGATGGCTGATTTGGTCAGACTGAAGATGAGACGACACTAAATTCCCAAACTGTCGTCACCACTGAGCAGCTTTTCAGTCGGCAGCTGTGACTGAAGAACAACTAAACAACCTGGAATCAGCCAGAAATTAACCCAACACCATTCGCCAAACTAAATGGGCTGTAAGATGCTTTACAGACTGTCTGGAACAAAACATCAATACTGATCTGGCAAAAATTGACAAAACTGAGCTAAACTTAATATTGCGGCAGTTTTATGGCTCAGTCTTACTTCAAAAGGCGAGGCTTACAGCAGACTGAGCAGCGAGTGGGCGGAGCTCGTTACTCTGATGCAGCAACAAGCTGCTCGTTAAGGAACTATAATTTGGTGAAGGAACTGCGAACATTAAAACATATTAAACGCCGCGTTCACGACCCAGTTTATTAATTTATTACTCTAATTATTTAACTGTTGTAGAAAAGCAGTAGACACTCGAGGAGTGTGTTATCGCGAAATAACATCACGGCTGTGATGATCTACGGCGACCAAATCACAGCCGTGATGATATTTCGCGATAACACACTCCCTCTCGTGTTCTATTGCTGAAGTAATTATATAAATAACTCATCATATTCTATTTTGCTGTGATAATGACATAAATATCACGAGATCTCAAGAAAACAAATAAAAATTAATCGTTATCACAGAAGCACATGCAAATCCATGGCCCCGTTGGGATTCCGTAAATAAGGGTTGAGAGACAGCGGAAACTTCTCATTCACAGTGTATCCTCGTTGAAACCCGATCCGTCATAAAGCCTTCAGGTTTTCGTACATGCCACACAGCACCGCACGCTCGACCACACGTACGTTCAGACACACTGGAAAAATACTACATGACGTGGAAGTGTGTCTTCAGGCCCCCTCAGGGTGATAAATCAGTCCAGCGTGATCGTGATGTGACAGCTGCTCTAACCACCTTCGTTCTAGCGCTGTGCCAAATTGTACCTATGGTCAAAAACCTTCTCCTCTCCCTCCGCCTGCTTTCATACGACATGAAAAATACCCTTCATGCTAGGGACATATTTTATCTTACGTAACACCTAGCTCATCTGAAGGTTAACGGCTCGTTAGCAGCGCTCCTCTCCGCTGATTTCGAGAGTTAAAGAGCCATATTTCACACTGAAGCTGAAGAATCTGTGTTTATAGAAAAAAAAAAGACAGACTGATATACACTCGTGGTCTGCGGAGGGAGTTGTTGTTCTTTCCAGCGCCTTTTACACTTGAACGGACGGATTAGAAATATTCGCAAACCCCCTCGTATTATTTCTAGCTCGCAAAAATGTATCTGCAATAATACTGCGAAAGCATTTATTCAATATTTCTCAAAATAGGAGCTGTACGGGCAGCGTGGTTTACTTTTGCTCACGCTGAGGGGGAAAAAAAAGTTTTGATTTAAAAGGCGATTCTTGGAGGTTAGGGCAGAGCGAGCTGGGAAAAGAGTCAGCAGGGGCTTTTAAATTAGCCTCAAGTGCAGCGCAGTGTGACGTCCAGACAGCCACTGAGAACTCTTCCCACAGAAGTGTTATTGTGTGTGGCAGCAGAGCAGCAGAGAGAGAGAGAGAGAGAGGGGAATCTGCTGGGTGACTGCCTCTCTCTCTTTCTGTCTACCTCCCTTGCCCTCTCTCTCTCCCTCTCTCTCTCTCTGTCTCTTTTTTTCTCTTTCTCTCTCTCTCTCTCTCTCTCTCTCTCTCTCTCTCTCTCTGTCTCTCATACATATAGTTTCTCTCTCTCATACATATAGTTTCTCTCTCTCTCTCTCTCTCTCTCTCTTTCTCTCTCTCTCATACATATAGTCTCTCTCTCTCTCTCTCTCTCTCTCTCTCATACATACAGTTTCTTTCTCTATCCCTCTCTATCCCCTATTGTCTTTTCTCTGTCTGTCTGTACCTCTGTCCATCTTTTGTTTTTTCACTCTTTTACTCTCTCCTCATCTCTTGCTGTCTCTGTCTCTCTCTGTACATCCTTGCATACGCTCTGTCTCTCTCTCTCTCTCTCCCTTATTTTCTAATTCTGTCTCACTCTTTCCATCTCTTGTTCTTTTTCTTCTCTTCGCTCTCTTCCTCTATCTTTCTTTCTCTCTCTCTTGTGTATATAGTCTTTCTCTCTCTTCCTTGCTCTCTCTTCTCTCTTTCTCTCTTTCTCTCTCTCTTATACATATTGTTTTTCTCTCTCTCTTTTTCCTCGCTCTCTCCCCCCTCTCTTCTTATTCTTTCTTTCTGTCTCTCACTCATTCCATCTCTTGAACTTGCTCTCTCTCTCCTCTCTCATTTCCTTGCTCTTTCTTCCTCTCCCCCCTTTTTCCCTCCCTCTCTCTCTCTTTCCTTCTCTCTCTCTCTCTCTCTCTCTCTTTCCTTCTCTCTCTCTCTCTCTCTCTCTCTTTCCTTCTCTCTCTCTTTCCTTCTCTCTATCTCTCTCTCTCTCTCTCTCTCTTTCCTTCTCTCTCTCTCTCTCTCTCTCTCTCTCTCTCCCCCTCCCTCCCTCCCTCTCTCCTGCTGATGAACGACCCGTGAGAGATAATAAAAACATCAATCCCTCGCAGGCTGCTAACCAAACAAAAAACACATCTGCAATAAAATGAACAGTAGTTCTCAGTGGGAGGTGGCAGTAAAGGCTAAAGCGGGAGGAATGGCTGTGGGCCCTGACGCCCGTCCAACAGCCCACGCTGAGCTCAGACGCAGAGAAACTTTACCCT